GTTGTAAGGCTGATAGAACGTGAATTATGTGTGTGGCTAAAGGTTGCATGAATCTAGCGTCAATGAACAGTAAATGCACGCTACAAGCAACATGCTCCATGGAAGGTGACCACTTGAGGACGTTGCGCTATTATGCAGCCGTGAAATTGCTGAAACAACGTCTGTCCCTTTATGAAAGGATAAGTCGACAACCTTGGCTGAAAAGAGCGTCCACCAGGGTCCAATACGACCTAAACATGCTTCCGTACGAGTGGCAGATCGCTATGACTAAGAGAAAAGCAAAAGAGACAAGTACTAAGCGCCAGAACAATCAGGAGCATGTGGTGAAATTGGGTTGAAGTGATGTCTCGTGATAAGCAACCGCATACGGGACAAAAAGCAGGATCGTATGATAGCAAAGGGAAAGGCCTTGACGGAATGTGATATGTAGTTCATTAAAATGAGATTGCAACTGCCTGTAATAGTTAGCCTGGACGATGACTTATTGCTGGGATTGGGCATCCCAAGTATGGACCTGGTTGAATCTCACGACATCGAAGATATTGTCAAAAAGATGCGCAAAAGTTACTGTCACGTGTCCATGGGAGTAACTGGTTGTGTTCGCTTGCATGGGTATAATGAAACATCAAAGAAACCACCATGCCAGCCGGGGGCACGTGGCATGAAAAGACAGGCCCTGGACAGGCGCCAGGATTGCTATGAGTCAGTCTTTTGGCTGATTGTGACAAGAAGAGGTGTATTGAGCATGTGCATGGTCGATGAAAGCTTCATTGGAGAGGAACGGGATGATAACATGGCGAAATAGACCCGACGCTGTCTTATGACATGACTTCAGCGCTACGGCAAGTGGCCATAGGTTGCCCATACCCGTCATAGGCCAGGCTTGGCCTGAAAATAATGTTGGGTCCCTCACATGACAGCCTGACGGGATGCCATGTGTGACTATGCCCGCCCCCACCCTTCACGTTACACCCTTGAGTGGAGCACACGCCACCCATGTCAACCTAATACGGACGAATGCACGGGTGCCATCTCGTACCTTGGGTGCGCGCCCACAGCTGCCGCCGTGTGTCATGTGTCACAGCTGCCTTCGATGTCGTACGGCAACCTTGGACTCCGAGTTGTGGGGCGCCTCACAGGCGCACGCACGATGGTGGCGACACGCAGCGATGGACTTGAAAATGGCTGCGATAGCGCAGCTGCCAAGGCGCCAGGACGATGACGATGGCGAAGTCGAATTGGCGTGGCGGTGCTGCCCCCATGCGCGCGATTCGTCGCGCCATGCATGGACTTTGCATGCCCAGGTGGACATGCGATGGCCTCAAGGGATGTTGGGGTCCATGGCGTGACGGAAGGCCGGGCGCGATGCTGGATTTGAAGGCCTGCTCAGCGGTGGCGGGCGCGATCGAGGCGCTAGCGTCCGTCGCGGAGGCATGGGGAAGCAGGCGAGGACGGAGTCAGGCAGTCGCAGGCAGCGGAAGGCTTGGCATGCGCGCGAACGAGCGGCAGGTTGTGGGACCGAGTCAGGAGGGCGCTGAAGCGGCCGTGGATGGCGAGGGGCAGCGTGCGGTGTCGGACAATGGGTCCGAGGGCTGGCACATTGTTCACAGAAAATTCTGAGCTGATTAGACACCTTATGCATTCTGTTGAGTTTCAATGTTAGATCGGAATAAACTTGCAATTAGTAAGGAATCTCGGGGATCGCTGAGGTGAAGGAGAGTGAGCGGAATGGATCATAAGGATATTTGATAGAGACTTTGACTTGAATAGATCTGAACCTGGAAATTGTAAGGATCAGTGGGTAAAAGGGATTGTGACAAGTGGTAGATCATAAATGTCAGCGGGGAGCTGATAAGACGGGAAGGGGATGATTTGGAAAGTTGACCGGAGTTGATCCGAATCTTCTGGAGAATATTCCAGGGAACCTCGGACGGGGGGACGGCCAGCCGGGGCTATAAATAGTGGGGCAGAACCGCATTTGGACAAGCAACTCGACCCGACCGGTCCCAGAGCCAATAGGCAAGGGATTGAGAGCTGAAACTAATAAGTTGTAAGCAGGTCGTATTCCATGGAGGATTGCATTGTAACTACGATTCGATTCGTGTGGCCGAATGTGTGATTTGCGGGATAACGGCAATCTACAGTTGGTCCATTGGGAAAACTTGCAGGGCCCCAAACCAGCTGCAAGTATAGCCAAGTTCCGAGGCTAGGACTACTGGGAAAAGCCTACGGTGTCTCAGGTCCACCCCAATACGCTGTGGGGAAGCCTTGGGGCTCCCACTAAAGTGTTGAAGTAAAATGCCAAATTACTGAGTCCAGAAGAATGTAAACTTGGTATAACGGTTAAAGGGCAACAAGCAAGTACGACAGGAAGCACCAAATTGCTGGGCGTAAAGTAAGTGACATTCATCTAGGTCCAAAAAGACCTGAAGTAAGTGGCGTTGACAAAGCAATTGAACTTCGGTTTAGTTCATTGCAGAAATCATCATAAACTTGTCAAAGTACTGCCTCAGTAAGGTCCAGTATAGGATAGAGAGACGGGAGCTGCAATAGGATAAATTCATTACAGAATTAGTGTACTACAAATCCTATTTATTACACAGTTAGCCATGCACAGTACAAGTCCCAAAGCATGGGCCTTTCGGAAGAGAACCCAAAGGAATTGAACCGTGACACTAGTACACAAACGCCAGCCCCCAAAGCCAATACATCAGAGTGTCATGCAGCTCTTGTGAAAGGCAACCTACAAGAAAATACACAGGAGGCTCAGAGGCAATCATTGACAAGGAACCAGTCTCGCCAGCTGCGGGAAAGTTGGAAAGAGCCGTCCAAGAAAGTCGTTGAAAGCTGATTCACTTAAGAATGTAAGATACACAAAGAAACAACAGGAAACTAGACATTAATATATATACTGATGATGTGCTAGTATCTTTAGGCAGTGTACACAGTCCCGGTGACAACCCAAAGGATTGGCTGGGTGTCTTTATAAACGCCAATTAGTTGCTAAAGCTCTGGAAGGTTGCTAGTGGCTTGGTGTCTTTATAAACACCAATTGGTTGCTAAAGCTCTGGAAGGTTGCTAGTAGCTTGCTGTTAATGTTACTTTGTGTGAATCTGTGTACATATAGCCCATCTTAACCGCGCGACTCACAAGGTTGTTCCAGAGGGTGTGTGACTTGTGTTGGCCTATTTTGCAGTCATTTATGCGTGGTGAGGCTTTGGAATTGGCTGGCATTGCCAGGGAACTTGCACGTGTGAAAGGGCAGTTGAGTTTTTTGTGGAAACCGGCGTGTGCAAGGCCGAGAAGGGCGTGTTCAGGTCACTGATCAGGTTCACCCTGCTTCGAGGGTGATTGCCAGACCTGCTTGTAGTCCTGCTCACTTTCAATTAATTTGTGGGGTCTTTATTGGCCTATGTATATGTTGCGCATTGTCCCTCAGCTATTTGTGTTTGGGAATTTGGGTCGGACACAACCTGTGAGGGAAGCCTCCTAATCCTGGCCGTGACTCGTCAGCCGTATTAGGCAGTCACAACAATGGCCAATGAACAAATTGTATAAAATTGGGTTGTACTGCCCATTCTGACGTGGCAAGGGTATTTGGGAGTGGCTCCCATGCTGTTTGCGGGCCACAGACCGTATGCTGCTGTATCCAAGTGTATGAGGGGCTGAACGGGACGGACCATAGTCCGTGAAGTTGTAAGCACTCAGTTGACAGTCTCTACGTGTGCAACCTGTGCACACAGGCCGTGGCGTGCAGCCTGACCAAATCGGCTTCACAGCCAAGGGATTGAGGTCTCCTGTGCTCGAATCTCGGCAGAGCGCGCCCATTGCAATCCCGCCGTTCGGGTGCATGGGTTTCCAAGCGATTCTGTGAGAATCGAAGCAGCCTTCCGCGTGTTTCTCACCCAAGGCCCGGATTTCTGCCTGAGCCCGGACTTGCAAGACCCGGAGGCCCGTTTGAGTCGGATTTTCCATGGTGGAATCGCTGGCGACGTGTTCGTAAGGGAGCTGTTCGTCCCCAGATTCGTCTCCTTTGGAGCAAATCCTACCGAGCCGGAAGGCGAGACAGCCGAAGGCTTGGCGCTTTGTGGATTTCCTCACGGGTGGCTGCCATGTCAGACGACCACCTCTAGCACAGTGGATTTCGAGACAGAACGCACGAATTTCCTCTCCTTTCCTCTCGTTTCTGAGAGGCCTAAACTTTCATGCAGCGGCAAACAGCCATGAAATCTGGGCAAGCCAGAAGTGCAACGCCCTTGCATGCACAAAGGGAAAACACGCTCTCATCCATTCATGGCTTACATCATCAAATTTCACAGGGCACCATCCTTCACACTGACCCCTCCCGACCGCAATTGCTCATAACCTCAAAGATTCACAAGGCGGGGCTCCTCAAGACATCAATCCTGACACAAATTACATTCTGCACTGAGTGCAAAGGCAACTGCACACACTTATTCCCATACGCTCCAATCCGTCGACTTCACGACAGGGCAGCACACACATGCGTGCACATGACATTTGCAGAAATACCTAGGCCCGTCAGCCACACTTCAGCTACTGCGGTTTAGCCCCACACCCGCCCCAATGTCGAAGGGAACCGCCGCCGCAACGAGGACTTCCTCCCACACCAATCAAGATGGGGGGCATCGCTCCTTGCGGGCATTTTGTACAATTACAGGCGGAGGTCAGCAGCGCTCCGCCCGTTCTTGGTCACAATCCGCTTGCATGGTGGGAGAAAACGACAATGGGCACACTCTGACGTCCACAAAAATATCGGACAAAACCTCAGCCCTCACCAGCAGGCCCGCCAGTCCGCGGCGGCCTTCTGCACGTTGGAAGCGCGAAACCAGAATCACGGCGCCCAGCGAACCCGGCCTCTCCCGGGACCTGTGCCGCACGGATCAGCCGCTACAACCATATATGGGTCCATACACAGGTCTGCATTCGCTGCCGCAATCCGCGGTGGCCTCAGGACGCCAGGCCGGTGCCGCAGAGCATCAGACCTTGGCAGAGACGTCGAAGTCCTGATGAAGGGGTGCCACGGCGTGCGTCATGGGCACGGCGGTCACGCCCGACGCGGGAACGCCGGTGGCCGCGGTCTGGACCGTCACAGTGCCCAGCGGCCCCTGCCACTCGCCGTTCTCCACGCGGTTGGTGATCAGCGTGCGCGCCTCCTGGCATGTGGCGCACCCGTGGCAGAAGATCCACAGGCAGCTGTCCTCCACGTCGGGAGCGCACTCGCAGCACATGCCTGAGGCGGTGATGCCGAACTTCTTGCGCATCTGCATGCGGTTGTAGATGCCGGAGATGGTCATGATGATCCAGCACACGGCGACCATGACAAAGTACAATATGATGATCGTCTTCGCATCGTCGGAGAATTCGGGTTTGACAAGACTGTAATCGCTGTCTTCCTTGAATTCCTCGCGTTTCTCGATCACCGTTACTCCGTTCCTCACGATCACTTCGCTGTGTTCGCTGTATTCGCTGTCGTCGTCGTGGTCTTCCTCGAAGAAGATATGACTGTACACGCGTGGGACGGCCGCCAGGACGATGAAGAGGAGTGCCCATGCGAACGCCCTCTTCAAGTCGCCGAAAGCGCGGTACTTCAAAAACCTGGAAACGAAAGCACATCATAGGCTGAGAACACAGTTTCCAACTCGCTGCTCGGGGGGTGCAAAGCCACGAGTTGCCGTTTGCAGGAAGTTTGCAATTTCAAGGCATTTTTGACGCAATGGGAGCAGTATGGGCTGTGTGAGGACTGCCTTCGTTACACATGGCGCAAATGCCACACCACTACTCTGCTGGAGAGCCCTGCAGCACGAATCAGTGCTTCTTTGGCCGTGCATGAGCAGCCATGGCCCATAGTCGCGTGTTGAGGACCAAGTCAGGAACAAACAAAGAGCATACAGGAAGACGTCTGTGCCGCGTCTTCCTTAACGGAGCACAGCCTTCCCGCATGACGCCCATTTTGTTCCTTGCTGAGGACAACAAGTGCCACAAAGCAAGCCACGTGTTTCTCCTGGTACGACACTCAAGCACCGATGTCTCCATACGGACAGATGACTTGAGCCGCTTCCCTCCACAACCCCCCAGAAAAGGGCGCGCGGGAGTAGTGACACTTTCACGTGCCCCACATCGGCCTCAAGAAATGCAGGTTCCCTTTCCATGCATCGAGCAGGCAACCAGGTCAACCAGGACTAACGATGTATCCAACGCTTTCTGGACGCAACTTGGAGTGTACTCAGCATCGACACCCCAGAAGCAAGCAGCCCAGTTCCTTCCAACAACGTTCCGCGCCGAGTACCGCAGGTGACAGGCGACGTCTGTCGTAGAATATGGCGTAACAACGTTGCTACATCGGACAACGTCGATATAGCGCCCAGAGGGTGCCCACCCCATCACGAGGCAGCTGGGATGAGGCAAGCCAAAGGCAGCCCAGTTCCGGGACTGCCACAGAACCCACAGCTTCCCCCAAGGGCCGTCCCAAACGCTCAACAACCCAGATGCCAGATTCTCACAGCCCTCTTCACCGACCTAAAAACCCAAAGCCCTGCTGCATCGGCGCTGAAAACTCAGATCGGGTGCCTGCCCATGGGTTCCGGGGGCAACGTTGATCCTTACAAAGCACCGTGAACAACAGGTGAACCTGCACATCGGAACAGGGCAACCTCCGGAGGTCGGATCCGACACGCCCTTGCTGCGAGACCGGCCCCCGCCCGCGCCCGCCCAGGCTCACCCGAACATGCAGGGGAAGCACCAGGTGGTGAGGCAGCAGACGCCCCAGCCCACGCCGTCGCAATTCCCGAAGCAGTTTGCGCAGCTCATGTCCCACTTCCTCTCAGCTGCCACGGGCTTGGCGGTCACCCGGACCGTCACCGTGCGCGGTTCGCCGCCATCCACCTCGGCCGACGAGGGGACCCCGTTGAGCAGGGGGTAGTAGTCCCTGGCCTTCGCCATTGTGGACCGCGGTTGCGTTCGGGCGTGGCAGGGACCCGCAAAGACGAGGGGGCGATTAGGTTTGCTGAAGGAGTTCGCGGGCAATTTAACGGGGACCAGCGCAAAACTCTTCCGCTGGTCCGCAGCTGCACATTCACACGAGCCGCGTGACAAAACGCCTACAGTGAAAGGATCATGATGGACCCGAGAGGAAGGTGCCCAATTTTGCGGCTGTCCTTCGGTTGACACGCGTGCCCAAGGCGCCGAGGTAGCGTCCCTAAACTTGTTACAGCTTAATTCTAGGACTATCTGCAGCCCTTTTTTGTGCGGCCAATTCGCAACAGGCAGCCACCCACTTTGTTCGCTGCGGCTGAGGCAAAGGCCAGGGACAAAACTGGACCCTCCAGCAAAGAGTCCAGCACCCAACCGATTCAGCCAACTTTCAGCGACCCTGCGACTCCTGCCCCGGCCGCACAAGAGCGACGCGTCCCCGCCCGCGCCCAGCTCTCGCTCGCATAGCGCCATCGGCGCCTCGCGATCAAGATGCTGCGCCCACTGGCCGGGCCAACGATGCAGACATTCGTGGAGTCGGATGCCTCGATCCGAATCTTTCTCCCGATCGGCGCCGCGCGTCGAGGCGCGATGCCGAGAGCAAATTTGCCGCGCCCGTCAAGAGAACGCAATTGTTCGCCTTTACGGGCTTTGACTGGTGGGCCCTACAACGACGACGTGGGCGCTGGGGACGTCGCGGGATCGGCGCCGGACGTGGATGGGATGCTCCGGCTGGTGGCGGATAGGGCCGCTCGGCGGGGAGGGACGGGGGTAGGGAGGGTGTACCTCGTGGGCACGGGGCCGGGGGACCCCGGCCTGCTGACGATGAGGGCGGTGCAGCTGATGCGGTCTGCGGACGTCGTGCTGTACGACAGGTGGGCGCGCGTTGGTGGTGGTGGGTGACAGGTGGGCGCGCGTTGGTGGTGGTGGGTGGGATTGATTCCAAGGAGAGAGAAAAACAGGTCATGCAACGGGCGCCCCCTCCTAAGCAAGTGTGTGGGAGACTCTTTTCCGTGCTTTGACGAGATGTATGGAGTCTCCGTTGCGAAATGATGGGCGCACAACGCGGGCGGGGGGGTGTTCGGAGGGGAGTGGAACGGAGCACGGCGCCCGGGAGGGATCTCACGGAGGATTGATGAGTCGCCGTGCTTGCGTTTTGCCGCCAAGATGGGCGATGGGTCATTTGTGGATTATCCAAGGCGCGCGAAGGATAGAGTCGGAAGGTGGGCGTCGGAAAGGCGGGCGTGATTGACGTAACGTGCTGCTTCGGGGACATTCCGTTTCCATCAGCGTTTGGCCACTCGCGCATGAAGGTAATGGGCCATGGTCTCGCTGGTGCGTCGTCGAGACTTGCCAGAGCGGGCCCACTCGCTCTGTGCCCTGCCTTTGCGTTGATTTTGTCTTCAGGAGCGATACACCTGCATCTGGTGTGGGTTCTTGAACGTGGTTTGAAAATTCAAGGCTGGTTGACGCAATGTTCCCTCGCAGAATTTGGTGTGCCTCCAAACCGAAATGGCCCCTGCACACCTTAGCACCCTTGTCCCTTGAGGGGCCTTGAATGTAGCAGTATGCAGGTATCTGTGTTGTGTATGTTCTCGGCTACACGCGTTGTCGTTACAAATCATACCTAGACACCTTTCTGGAGGTGAATGGCAAATTGGTATTGGAGGGTGTTGAGCGGTGTGGGGAGGACATCGGAACAGCAGCTACGATGCTTTGCTAGGACTTGGTTAACAGAGAAGAAAGCATACCAGAATAGCTGGCACTTCCTGAACAGCTTGTTCTGAACTGCACCAACCCTGTCCAGAGGCCACCCCAGGAATAACTGCACAGCATTGATGACATCAAACCCGTGACTCCACAGCAGTATTGTCCACACTTTGGGGAGTAATGTCTTTTTAAAGGCCCTGAAAAGCCAACACAGCGTGTACAGTTGCCCTTCACTGTGCAGTCAGTGACAATGGTGCATGTCTAATTGAAGGGCCCTGCAATCCCGAGACCTTCGAACTTCAGTTATGGAGCAGCACTGGCAGCATTGTCGGGAACTGGCAACCTGTCTGACGCCCAAACTTCGCTGAACATTGCTTGTTGCTCTTTGGAATTCTGTCAAACCAACCAGGAACAGAACAATGACATGTGTGGTTGTGGTTGCATCTCAATCGTGTGATCAAGCAATCTTGCTTGTCTGCCAGCAATGGCCATCTTAACATAAATGATGACTGTGTTTCGACTGGGTCCCACCTGGTTTCTTGAGCTCTATATTTTCTGACTTGCTGTCTCTCTGTGGTTCCTCAGACTTGTTTCCAGCGACATACTGCAGCTGGTCCACCCAGGCGCACGAATGGTGTATGTGGGCAAACAGCGAGGCTTCCACACCCGCACACAGGATCAGATCCAAGAGCTCCTTGAGCATTTTGCCGACGCTGGGGCCCTGGTGCTGCGCCTGAAGGGTGGGGATCCCTATGTGTTCGGCCGTGGTGGCGAGGAGATGGGCTTCCTTCGGGAGAGGGGCATCGCTGTGCACTGCGTACCGGGCATAACGGCAGCGTCTGGAATATCAGCAGAGCTTGGGATACCCCTCACGCACAGGGGTGTGGCCACGTCTGTGAGATTTCTGACAGGACACTCCCAGGAGGGTGGCAGGGAGGAACTGGACAAGACGATTGCCATGTCTGTGGACCCCATGGCAACCCTGGTGGTGTACATGGGGCTGCAAACACTTCCCAATCTGACCACCATGCTTGTGGAGGGAGGCCAGGACCCCAGGACTCCAAGTGTTGCGGTGAGATCACTCAACTGCAGTCTCCTGAAGCTGATTGTTTATTTGTTGGTCGGTGTTCCTTTACAGGTGAGGTTGGTTGGAGTTCCTGAACCAGAGAGTGAGGCGCCTCACTGTCTCGCATTGACAATCTCAAGCAGGTCCCCAAGCTCGAAGTACATACCCTTGCATTGTGGCCGGCAGTGGCCAACTGAAGATGCTTCTTGCTTTAGACAGTGCTGTAGAGCAACAGGGTGAGGGGTGTGCTGTTCATCACACTGTCCAAACGTCCACTGTGCCCTATGTCAACTGTCTAGTGGAAGGCAAACAACAGTCTGTGCGCCACAGTCGATGCAAATGATTTGAAAGGGGGGACAAGTTATTCTGATATCTATTCATACTGCTCACCAGGTGGAGCGTGGGACGACTTCCGACCAGCGTGTTGTCTTCTCACACCTCGAGGAGCTCCCTGCAGCCACCACGGATGCCAGCCTCAAGTCCCCAACATTGATAATCATAGGACAGGTGGTGGCTCTTGCGCCTGGCTGGAAGAGCTGGATTGACACTGGTGTTGCACTTCAGACTGGCGGAAACGGCAGCAGCAATGTGCTGCCGACCGATTATCAAGATCTGTTGGCACCACTTGACGATGTGGAGACAGAAACTCCAGCCGACTGGGAGGCTCACTAATGCCAACAGTGGAGTGGACAGGGACCCTGCAACCCAACCTGCGCTTGCCACATCGATCTCAGCTCCAAATGCAGTGGTGGCCAATTTGTGGATCTCAGTCTCTCTTGTTTCCTACTTGCCTATTTTTGGACAAGTGTGTAATAATGAATCCTTTGAAGTACTGAGGGCTAGGCCAGTTATGTTCAGCAGACGTCCCCCACAAAGGGCCGTTAATGAATACCCATGGGTAGGTACTGTCTATTGCAAGCTTCGCGAGCATCACATCAATGGCAGACTGCAACGTAATTGCAGATTGCTAGCGCCCATAATAGTTTCGTCCAATCTGCACCAAGTCATGACAGAATCCATTGGCTGATGAAGCGCCCACCAGGGGCGCTCCCTGATCGCCACTGGGTTGCAACTCTCTCTTGGCGACGCCTGTAGCTTGCAGCAGACACCTTCAATCGAGCCCCATGGACTTGCTCTCCCGAAATCAGAGACTAGCGGAACAATCAACTTGTCCATAAATGGACGAACGCACTACGAGAACGACAGCTTCATGCATGAGCCGAAGCTTGGTGTTGGGGTGTTCTTTTGGCGCACGTGTGCCGGCACAAGCAACACATCACAGGAAGTACTTGCTCCGGCGTTGCGGAATGCCGTGTGTGGCGACCACTGGGGAATGCGGGATCCGTCCCGTTCCCCCCCAGCCCGGCTGCCGAGAAAGCCATTCCCCAGTGCCATTCCCTGCTGCTTGTATTCCCCGCCCACAAGATACAGCAAACCACGGCGCCCAAATCCACGCTCCAGGTTGGCAGTATCTCGCCGCACAGCGCCGACGCCGCGCCGTGAGAAGGGCGAAAAAGCGTCGGCAGGGCGATCCACGCGGACGGGTGTGTCACGCCTGGCGGGCCAGGCGGGCCCGCTGCGAATCCCCACACCCGCGTCGGCCGGAGGATGTGGCTCTCGCTGGCCACATGTATCGGACTCCTCACCCCCGTCCCCTTGCCGCGTCCTTCTCACCAGCACCCCTTCCGCCCTTTTGTGCCGTATCCCCACCCACCCCCCGCGCCACCAACTTTGCACGGACCCTCTGCCAGCCCTCTCCCGGACTGAGGCGCCCCTTTCCACTCCTCTTGGGGCGGATCGAACCCGAGCGGCGGAGGTGTGACCGCCATGGACAACGGCGGGGCGCCGAACGGGGCCGAAGGCGCCGGGTTCTACGACGAGCTGGCGGGCGCCGGCGGGGCGTTCAAGTTCTACGTGGACGGCGCGTGGCGGGAGTCATCCTCCGGGAAGCACGTGTCGATCGGCAACCCCACGACACAGAGCATCGCCTTCCGGGTGCAAGGTGGGGCCCCCGGACCCCTTACAGTGCCACCGTCCCCTCCGGCCTGCGGGCGATTCGCCGGAGGCGATCTGATCGCGCGTTCCGGCGCTGGGCCGCGCTGCCCCGGCTGCTGGCCGCGCTAACGCGCGCCGCGCCGCTCCGCATCGCTTCCGGTGATTGGATCTCGACCGGACTGCGACGCCAGAAGCCCCAACACCGCCTGCTGCTGTGCGTCACACTGTGGCCCGCGCGGAAGTGCCCGATTCCTCCGCCACTGCCCATACGGGCCCCATGCTCCCCTCTCTTCACCTGTCACCCGTGGCGATCATCGCCCTGCCGCAGTGCTGTTCATGCATCGCCTCGATCCCCCCACGCCACAGCCGTTCGCGGGCGTCCGGAGGTCCCGTCACTCCGCTGGTGCCTGCGGGGGCGCGCTTGGCTCATGCGGGTTTCATGAATGCCGCCCGCAGCCTGCACCCCCGGCGAGGTGGACGCCGTGTTCGAGGCCGCCAGGGCGGCGCAGAGGGGCTGGGCGCGCACGGCGCTGTGGAGGCGCGCCGAGGCGCTGCACGCGGCAGCCCGGCTCATGCGGGAACACCCGCGGCCGATAACCGACGCGCTGGTGACGGAGGTGGCCAAGCCGCGGCGGGACAGCGCGACGGAGGTGGTGAGATCGGCCGACCTGATCGACTACACGGCGGAGGAGGGCGTGCGGTATCTGGGCGAGGGCAAACTCCTGGCGTCGGACTCGTTCCGCGGCAACGAGAGGAACAAGCTGTGCCTGGAGGCGCGGGTGCGCGCGAGCGCTCCTCTGAACGCTCCTTTGTACACCCTGTCCGAAAGTGGCAGCGCGCTGTGCTCGCGGCTGAAAGCAGGTGTTGGGCATGAATCCCCGCCCAGCATGATCATGGGTGCCATGTCTTGGCGCCTGCAAGCCGCTGAGCCTGGTTTGGCAGTTCTGTTTCGTGTCGCGGGTGAGCGCGGGGGACGCCAGGTGCCGCCTCTGTCGTCGAAGCCCGTGCGTGGGCTCGTCGTCGTTCGACCGTGCGCCGTGCAAGGCGCCCGTTGCTGTCATTGGGAGGGCGAATGCAGACCTGACGGTGATTCCTTTCGCCGCCAAGTCATCCCACATGAATAGACGGTGGTGGTAGATATCCCTAGAGGACGGTGCTTGGTGTGTGCTAGAAAGGCGTTCTGCAAAGTGGCGGGGTGAGAAACCCAAAATGCCATCTCCAGCTTTAGATCCAATGCCATCTGCTAACAATCGCATATTGCCCACGTCAGTTCAGCAACTCCTTCAGGAGGGCGCTGGATGTCCCAGTAGGTTGCAGTCGAGTATGTGTCCCTAGTGTTTCTGAGACCCATGCTGTGGGTAAGTCAAGTAGAAGCACCAGTCGCACTGTTGTCAAGCCTGGAAATGCAACTTGCTTCCTTGCTGTCAACCCTTGGTACTCCGGAACCGTGACATTTGCCAAGAACATGGGACAGCACTGCCTTCAACAAGGAACAACACATCTAACAGGGATTGTCAAACCCCGTTCACATCCATGTTCATCTGGCTTTATGTGTTTTTTGTTTGTCGCTGGATGATTATGGCACCCTTGTAGTGAGGCTGCTAGAAATGGACTTCTAGTGTTCGCGAGGCATCTATTTTCAAAGCATGTGCACAGAGCCAAGAAGGCGATCTCTGCCCTAAGGCAAGACGAACTCCATTTGCAATTTGTAGTAGAATTCCATTCGCATTTGGCTAGTTTGTTCATCTGCATAATTGGACTCTGCCACTTCACATCTTGGCCCTCATTGTCTCCACAGTACTCTCTCTAGTGTCAATGAGTACTTGCCGAGAGTTATCATGTAAAATAGAATGCACTCTCAGGCCAGCCTGATGTGCGCTGTGTGCCACCAGTGGCTGTCTTTCCTTGCCACAATCGTTATTTTCTGGATAGATTAGGAGGTCAACTCAAACTTGTGTCGCCTCATTTGTGATCAGGTCCCACTGGGGGTGGTCCTGTGCATCCCGCCCTTTAACTACCCTGTCAATCTGGCAGTGTCCAAGATCGCCCCAGCCCTCATGGCAGGCAACACCGTTGTCCTGAAGCCACCCACGCAGGGATCTGTGGCAGCGATCCACATGGTCAACTGCTTCCACAGGTTGGCTGCACTGGCATCCTCATTGTACTGGCTCCTGCACATTGTTGCATTGCAAGCTGCTTGGACATTCCCTGCGTATTTGAGGCGGATTGGACAC